TTTTAATAACAAAAATAAATAACCAAAAAGGTTCATTGAGTAAAGTAGTTTCAATTCAGCTTTATGGCCTTGATTTCATGAGTAATTTACTGTAGAGGCCTCAACAGACACCTCAGAGTTGTTGTTCTTGTCCATCTGTTACTACTCTCTTCTAAATGGGATTAAAACTAGGTTAAGAGAACTGCCTCCCATTTGAACTACGTTTTTGGGTAACATTTTAGGATTTTGGTCACGCTAACGGGATGCACAGAAACAGGATGTATGGAACAAGTGACAACCGCAAGGCGTTCGGTAGCTATACTGCCACGCTTGATAAGCCAGTCAGGGCTGGGTTTAGGCGATGCGGAGTCCAACGCGTACCATGCCATGGGTGCCCTTGCACACCCCACTCTCCCTGAAAGGGCACAGTTTTTCATTGTAACTTGAGTTTGCTCATCTATCAGTTCCCAGGTGAAGACAGCAGTCCTACTTCAGTATCAAGCACCTCAAGGTGGGAGCTTTTTTGGCACAAGAACACATACTAGTAACGTCCCCGCCTACTCAAAGTGCTTTCACTATTTTCTTTCGTGTTTCCTTTCTCTACATAGCATCGGAAGAAAGAGGTCTTAATGGACATCTGGTGTAGCCATGGTGACCTCCTGGCATCTCAGCCTGCGGAGGCCAGGAGAACATCACTCAAACCTCCTCAGGCACAAGGAAGTCTTCACGACCTTTCAGTTCCAACCAATCCATACTATCCCAACACCTGGCAGCTGAATATCAGATGGATCTAGTTCATTTCCCTGAAGTTTTGGCAGCACGGTGGACTGAAGGCAAATACCCTTTTACTACTGCTATTTTGTATAAACTCTAAGTTTTATTTATTTTTTCTGTGTTCCATGGAGGTAGCATTGGATGCAGCAGGCCTCAGCATTTAGAACATCTGCAACCTCATGTTCATCGGGGGGGCGGGGAGGAAAGGCACCGTCTCGTCTTCCACACATATATGTGCCGTCAGTCTGCAACTGCTGAAACCAAAGCTGGCTTTCTGGGTGGCTTCGTACTTTCTGAAAAAAGCTTTGTAAGCCACTGCAGGAAGAGGATACTACCATCCATTAAAGTTACATGGGCAATCTGTGTCTCAAAGTCCCAGCTTAGTCATGCATTTAAGTGCCCAATTTCCTCCATATACCAATTATGCACACATTACGAGTATTTTCCAATTGATATCAACAAAGCTGTCCTGTGCATTGCAGATAACAAACGTTAACATGTTCTGCTCCCTGCTCGCTCCTCATAAACATATACCACATCGCCTCTCCACGGCTTCTAAACCTGCCTCACTTGTACATCTAATTTTTCTGTAGTTCCCGATCAGCCTGTTAGCCTCTCTGACCACCTTCCCTGGAGTATGAAGAATTAAGCAATAACAAGGAGACTTTATGCTTTCACATAGTAAAGTACGAAACTGGCTCAGAGCTGCATGTGGTGGTAAGTTTCAGTAACTCCACAGCTCAAGGTTTTCCTCTGTTGAGGAAACAGGCCAGTTCCTAGGGAGGACCTATACTGTACAGGACTAAGAAACCTTCTACATATACACCGTAACCACATGAATATCAACAGGAAAACCACCGATGGAAGTAAGCTGGGCCTTGTGTGCCAGACCAATTACTGTGTATGAAGAAAGGGCAGTTTGCGGAAGCCCAAGCACCAACCACTTAGAGCACCTCCTTAGGCGCACAGGGACTTCAGCTGTAGAGGTAAGCATCTAAAATTTTGAATTTCAAGCATTAACTGCTACTTTGGGTCTAAACTTTGTTGATCCAACCCCTGTATTAAGACAGAAAGGTACATAGTAAGAGTGGTACTACAATTGCAAGGAGTTAAAAATGCAAGTCTCCACTTTTTAAAAATACATCAATAAGAAATATTTATTCCAAGCAGTCTTGTTTTTCGAAAAACATTCTATTTATGGTTAGTCTTTGTTTTCTGCCCTGAAGCCAATCTGCAATCTAATGAACCAGAATTTTTTTTCTTTGAGGCCTCCACACTTTTGATATTAACACTTCGTGTGCGATTCACCTGTCTTACAGATTTTAGAATGGAAAGTCTACCTTCAGGAGCCATAAAGTAGAAGCATAACCTAGTAAACCAGAGTACTGCAAATACTCTTTTTAATCAGTCCCATTGAAGAATTCGTTTTCCTGAGAAAAGAAGATACAAATGCTAGGAAGGAAGATCTAGCTTCTACCTCCTATTCCAGGGGCGCCTAACTTGATCTGAATGATTTCATAGTACAGTGCTTTAAACAACTGCCTGAGGTTCTTGACTAACCGAGTCTGCAGAACCACAAAGTATCTGGAAGCCTTACAGAGCCCACTCACCAGAGGAGATCTTTTTGACACCTCTGTAACACAGCGCTGTTTTCTTCCTGTAGTTCATCTCATCTATCTCCACAGTGATTACGAGAGGCAGACAAGATTGTTCTTACCTTCAGCTGTTGGGTTTTTATGGCAGTGTCACAGTGCCGATAGCAAAGTAAATCCAAACACAATCAAGAGCAGCCATGTGATCATCTTCCACTGACAGATTTGATTATTTTTTTTTCCCCAGTGTTACTGTATTTAGTAACATATAATGAATTTCATGAACATACCTCCATGGAATTTAGCATTGTCAAATCGTGCTTGTTCTTGCTGGCACAGTAAGATTAAGGGTATTTATTAATCTCTCAAAATTTTTTTGTCTATACAGAGTGGAAGCTACAGAAGCACCTGATAGTCCAATATGGCAAGAACATACAAAGGAATAGCACTGCAAGTTATCATATTACAGGCTAACTTGGAACATAGCATGACACCACGTAATTGTTATAAAGCTGCTCTGCAGGAGGTAAAAAGACATATTAGGTTGTGAAAAAGCCAAATACCTTTTCTATGTACTGACTGCGGGTTTATGCAGCATTATGGGATAGTCGGTAAAGCCTAGCAGAGACATCAAGGGATAAGACAGTATTTAAAATAAGTTACTCCCCCCACGACTTTTTTTTTTTTCCTTTTTAAAAAGGAATAAAACAGATACAGCACTGCCGGACTACACATAAAAGACTTGATCCTGCTCCGCTGGCAAGTCATTTTACTTCTGACTACAGAAAGAAACCATAAAATGCCATCAAGGCAGAGCAGTAATGTTTCATTGCCACATTGTATTGATACGAGGTCTTCACAGCCTATAGTGTAGATTAAAGAGTTTGATCCTTTGGTCTTATTTGCTGTATTTTATTCCAGTCAAGCTCAAAAGCCACCAAACAAACAAAAAAAACCCCACAATGGAGTGCTTGCATAAAGCAGACAGAAAAGACGATGTAAAATTGTGCTCTCTAGTGGAGAAATTTGATTTTGTGCAATAAAAGTTCAAGCCATTGTGACCCATCCACTTGACCAACAGGTTTTCAGTGGAGAGAAAGCATGAAGACTTTCCACAATATGAAAAGAGCGCAAATGCCTAGTTCAACAGATTTATTATAACCAAGATAGATTTATACTGAGTTACATGACAGATTACAGCTAGATAAAGTTTCTAAATATACAACAAAAAAAATACCTAAGTCCTAAAGCATGCTTTTACATTTGTTTAGATTTTAAAAGTAATGGCACCTATAACACAATAGCAAAACATTTCTTTTTAATGGTGTGACACTTTAATATGGTCCTATATAATACTATATAGTCTGATGAAAATAGGTTAGTTTTACACCAGACAGTGCTACTTCGCTTACATAATGAAAACTAGGATTTTTCTATAAATAAGGGTTTAATAAGATAATTCTCTGTTGATTTATTTTTAGAGAGAAGAACTGACATGATCACCAACTCCTTTATTTCTAGTTACACATACACCACTAATCTTAAACATACTGAATGGGTCTTCAGGAAATACTAACTCCTGTTCAATTTGTTTTCTTACAGCGTTAACAAAATACAACCAATTTTCTTCATGACAGCTACCCTACCACTAATTTTTCTGGGCAGGTATGGACCAATGAATGCATGAACTCAATTTAATAGCAGACGAATTAGAATCTATTCTTTAAAACAACTTGGCCACTTTACGCTTCCTCAACAGTATACAGGATTTAGCTTCTTTGAACTCCGTATCTTAAGTAGGCTGTTGGAATAAATCTGAAGTTAGAAGACAGAAATATGAAAGACTTTAAAAAGCTAAATGTACAGCTAACTCATGCTAATTTTAAAATATATTAAAATTTGGCGTGTATTCTAATTCAAGAGTAAGGATCTAGCAAGTCATGGATATTACATTTCTCTTATGTCATTGCAGAATGTTATGATCAGCTGTTGACTGTTACAGAAAGTAACATTCTCTCTTCCTCTTTGGCCCTTAAAGATGAAATATAGGAAGGGGGGGAGGTTTTTTTTGAATGCATACAGAAACACAGGGCTACCTTTCATGTTTTAAGTTCCCTAGTATATTCAGAAAAGACAGCCTAACAATTCGGTATATTCAGAAAAGGCAGCCTAACAATTCAGCAAAGCCAGCAACCTAGATTTAAGAAGTATCACAATCCACAAACAGAATCATACAAGTTAAAAGATTTGCCAGCTAGATGGTTTTTTAAATAGAAAAAAGTTCATAACTGATCTTACGCCTAGAGCAAGAAGGAGGGAGTTCCACTGACTTCCAGCATAACTGGTGCTGATATGGCAGCAATTTTAACACTTGTATTTAGTTAATCCCATGACAGCAAGCAGATTTCCTAAGTTTCTGCACCGGTAGTCATTCAGAATTTTAGGCTGGGGAACAGTTGTCAGTGATTGGGTAAAAGAAAAACCTAGCTCTACTTCAGCAGTTTTGTCATGTCGCTTAATAGAAAGATGAATAACAACTGAGTGATAAACTGTAGTTTGGGTATGGCTAAACATCCGTATTTATGAAGTGCTGGAACTCTGCAAGACACTGTTTCCATTTAATATTCTCCTGCAAGTTTTCACAATATTCTTTAAGTTTCTGTCCTTCACATGGCTGTATCACTTAAACCATACTTCCTATTTAAACCACATGCAAGAAAAAATTTAGTTTATCTAAAAAACAAAACAAAAACCACCTCTCGAAATTAAGGAGCCAGAAAGACAAGTGAGATACCCCTTGAAGTCCTGTGTAGTTATTGTAACAGATAGGTAACAGAGAGAGTGACCTTAGATCTGTTTAGTTTAAAATTCAATAGTAGTCATGCAAAATTAACACACAGTTGTGAGCATACTGTAGCACCGCTCGAGGTTATCCGGTACATATTATTAGCTCTGTTGTAGTAATGCCTGTCAGTCACACTACTGCATGCATGGAAGGGAGGCAGCCCAGTAATTGAGAGAAATGTCTTGTTTTTCTAAGCCTCGTTCGAGAGCGGGTATGTTTGCAAAACCTCCATTTTTAGCTACAAAAGCATTATCACAGCAAGGCAGACGTTTCACTGGGGTTTGCACACTCAGCTAACTATATTACGTTAGAGTTTGTTCACCACCAAAAGACATTAAAAAAAATACCAAAGTACAGCTCAGTAGATTTATGCATTAGGTTGTAAGCCATCTAAAAAACAGGTCTAAAGTTACATTACAGGCTACGAGATCCTACTTAGCAATTCAGTTTGGCCCACGTAAGAAGTGCAAACATGTGATATCTTCCAATTAAATCAACCTCTGCATTTCTTGACAGGAGAAAGAGACAGAGACCAAAACCCCAGAAAATTCATACTGACTTCCAATCCCATCCTACAAGACAACTTCGTGAGGTTTTTGGGACACAGCTAGGAAGTCATCCACAGTGACAAATTACAGTTGCTACTACAACACTATCATGACAGACCATTTTAAGGATAATTTGCAGTAACTCCTTCAGAAGCTATTATGCAAAGAACACCAAAGCTTGCACTGACCTATTTATAATTCAAGTACTCTCCCTACTCCACGATAAAGAGGTTTTTGAGAATATGGAAGCTCAGTCCAGGGGGTCCTCATAAGACAGAGCAGATTTCAGCCTTCTCGGTTTCCTATATCTCGACAGTTGCAGAAGTGCCATTTGTATAGCCACCTTTAGACTTCATGTGGTCCTGAATTGATACAGCCTAGAAGAAAAGTTTATTAGAACACGCATCTTATAAAGTCTGGTTGCCAGAGCAATTATTAAAAGCATCAATTTGAAGAGGCAAGTGAGCCGTATGTTTACAGGGCTGGGTCCCAATGGTAGTAGGGAGAAATAACAACTAAACCCAGAATTGTTAAATACTACTTTAAGTCAGTGCACGAGATGGGTCTTGCTATCCAAAATCCACTTATTCTTACATCCCTCACCCTGGCACAGCTTTGACTTCAGGGTGATGTGTTATCTGGACCTAGTATCAAGTGCATCCACGGAATCCTTATCCAAAAGGTTCTCATCATATGTAAAGATACTGGGGAAATAAGCACTTCTTGCGGAATATATCTTCCACAGTATCTTATGTTTACAAACCAAAGGACAGTTCTGTTCTGATGCTATTCTATTGATGAAAAAAAAAAAAGAGTCAGATTTCTATCTCTCTCACAATCATCTAGTATTTTATTAGCTACCTGCCCTCCAGGTTACTGAGTGCAGATTTCTGCTTACGAAAGAGGTGCGCACTTACTGAGGAATAGTCACTACTCATCTCTCTTGCCCCAACATGTGCAGTGTGTACAAAGTTCATTGGTTCTCCTATCATATTCCGGTCCAGTCTCCGACGCCTCTTCTGTAAGAAAGAAGATATCTTAGGTCTCTATTCAGAAAATGTGAGCAGCTTTCAGACAGAAACAAGCAGCTGAGTTTAAAAAAAAAAAAAAAAAAAAAAAAAAAACAAACTGCCAAAAAAAAAAAAGACAGTCAGTACTGACCCCTAATGACTCCTCATGGCAACTGGGCTGGAGTTTCAGACTGTTTGCAGTAAGACAGGGTTAAAGTCACTTTTATTACTGTATTACTGCTAAGTGAATTTTAGCAAAAACTTCCTTTAACATTGGAAAGTTAGGGCCTGAGAACTGCAAACAGTCGTATGGGCAAAGTTTCTGGCAAAACACACATAGTTTAAACATAGTTTAACAGGTCTGTATTTTGCTGTTGTGTTACTCAGCCCAAACTAATCGAAACAACATGACAATGAAAGTGTTTTCCACATAACTGAAAGACAAAATTTCAGATCTGATAAAGGGTGGTGGTTGTGCATCTACCTACCGGCTGGGGCTGTTCACCATTGCACCAATTAAAACAAACCAGGAATTCAGTCATTATATTTTTCAGTAGGTAATAAGTTCTTGTTAAGTGTAATTATTTCTCTGGGAGTTAAAGCAGTTCGAGGACCAAGATGCAGTTCCTAAAGCGTGTTTAGGAAGAAATTGCTTGTGCAGATTTGCTGGTAAAGATCACAGAAAGCATCTGATGAGTACACCTGCAAGGAGATTATTATTTAAGCTTATACTAAAATATATCAAAGTCTTGTAACAGTTATTGAGCAATAGACATTTCAGAAAACTAAAACAAGACTGTAAAATTCTTAAACGTACCTGGACAGAAGAGTAGCATCAATTTAAAATCAGTATGTTCATGTCAGAAAGCAGGGTTAAGAGCTCTGCACATTTACTCCCAGGCAGACAGTAGTATAAGTTCTGGTTTCTTTACAGAAGTGTAATAAAAGCAATGCTAGAATTAAGTCAGGTCTCGTTTAACAGTCTGTGATCCGACTGTAAGCAGAGCTAGCCAATGCTTATGAACTATTTAGTATTTCAAAAGAAAACAGCTTTGAAACACAACAGATTGGATGCTTAACATTTACAAACAGGTGCAAAAGAAAGTTTCCTTCTTATGTCTGATATAGTTACGCTTCTTAGACACAGAAAAGCTCAGAGTAAAGAGTATTCTACAACTCCAAAAAGCCCTTAAAAGAGAAAAAAAGAGCTTTGTATATCAGCAACAGAAAGCATTCATCAGACAGAGCCTAGAGCTTCCCAGAATGTATGAAACTATTAACACAGCACTCCTGAACTGGGGACACGACCAGGAAACTCACTGACTTTAAGTGCCCTGAAGCTATGATAATAAAACCAGCTTTTTATGGTTACTAACTTTTTTTTTCTTTAAATATCTTCCTTCAAATCGAACCCAAGACTATAGAGTAGCCTTTCATATCAACTTTTTCATACCCCAGATCATTAAAACAGTATTATAACATGTTAATTTATAGAGAAGGTGTTGGGGTTTTTTTAAAGCTTACAGGTCAACAGAAGTTACAACTTCATCAATTCGGCCTTTCTGAACCCCCACTGAAGTCTTCACAACCAAACAGCACAAGCTTCCCCCTTCACAGGCATTTCTTATGTCGTCCCACAATGATGTAATTAGCACATCCATTTCTTTCACCTTTGTGATTTTCTTACACTTCATCCCTTCTCACACTTCAAGCAGATCTTTTAAATTTCTGCCATTTATCTTTCAAAGCATTTGTTACGTTTGCCTCAGCTTTAGGTGGCCTATATGATACATTATTGCAGAATGTGTCATATATTATTCCATTTTATCCTGGGTGGTTTTAATACAACTCATTATCTGGCTCAATTATCATTTTTCACCTCACTTCATCCTCTCACAACGGTCTTTATCACCACTGATGCCTTGTTTGGCTGCAGCAAAGAGGGGACAGTGGCCCACACAACCATAAGAACACGCAGAAGCCGAAGCTTTTGCCTACGCTTCACATTAGCTGGAGATTTTTTGGGTTTATTTCATGTTAAGGAGACTGTATCAAAGCTAAGATTGCCTTAAAAATCATAAAGTGTGTCACTGTACACTAATAACCTATTTTGAAAGCAGATTGACTGAGGCGAGCATCAAATTAGATAGAGAAACATCCCCAGCCCAAAATAACAGTTGAACGCCCACTCTCCCCCCGCTGTACCCCCCAGCATTTGGCCATCTACCTCCGCGGGGCTCCGTGCGTACCTGGGTGTTACCTGCTGCTCCCAGGGAATCCTGACGGGACGGTACGTCCTCATTCAAGCTCTGGCACACAGCCAGCTCCCGTCTTGGCAACTCCAGCGCGTTTACAGTTCATGTTCCTGGGTTATAATTAATCCCGATTGCTAAGCAAGAAAGCTTCACTGTGATCCCATACCCTGCGACGGTTCCTTCGCTCTGTAAGGTGCTGCAGAAGTCTGTTGTGTGCTTCACGCTTACCTACAGGTGTCAGAAAAGCAGAACGGCAACCAAAAATAGCGCCCTAGTTTGGCGTCGGATTCGTGCAGCCGTGCAGTTTTCTCAGCACTATCCATACAGCCTGTGGCTCACTTCCACCCCTGCGGCAGCTCTGCAGGTGTCCTCCTGGCACACAGGAGCCCTGGACGCCTTCCTGTTGTGTGTTATACAACAGAACTCTTCTTTTCCTCTGCAGGAGTCAGAGTATCATCCTCCAGGACAGGAATGTCTGCACCAGGGCGTGGGACACCACCTTCCTCCCAGAGACTCAAGGTTTCCACACTAACTGGAAGAATTTAAAAAACATCTTCATGTGTTCAGGCTCGCCCAGGGCTAATAAAAGTCAACAAGAATCCCCAAATGGAGGAGAAAACAACATTTTGTCACTGTTGGCACACAGACCAGAACTGGACAATATCCTGTTGTTCTTTCTCTCTATTTTTCACCATAGCAGCAGTATCATCGAGGAGACAGAGACAAAGGGCCAGGGAAACGGCTAGCACACGCAGACACAGATGTTGAATGCGATGGGCAGGATGCACAGCCATTCTGGAGTCCGTAGCCTTAAAGCGCCTGAGAGCTTTATGAATGTTTAGATATACTTTACTGAGCATAACACTCAATTTGTTCTATCATTGCTGTGTATGAAAAAATGTCCAAAATATTCTTGTATTTTACTTACAAAATATCCATCCTAGATGAAGTGGAAAATGTTTGCCTGAATCTAAACAAAAGAATCCTCCCTTTCCCTAGACAAGGGAGACGCACGGTAATCTTGATAAATAACACCCACTAAACGTATCCGTTCTTCTCAATTGGCCTTTAGACTCAAGGTCTGATCATGACAAACCCTTGACTCTGAGCTGTTAGTGAAAGACAATGAGCGTAAAGCTAGCATATATTATCACGTCAGACGCAGGCTACCATCACCCTGCCCCGACTGAGTTGTTAAATTGTGGTAACAGAATCCGAGTCCAGTTGTTGCCATTTTCATCCCAGCTCTGCCAGTACTGAATTTATGGGAGAGAAGCATATTTCAGCCTAACTGCCTTTCTAAAAACCGCTGTGCTTCTAATTTGTTCATTATCCTTACTTTGCTCATTTGATATTTACATCACGTTAAAATCCTGAAACGGTTGCACGTTTACATACTGGAATGGCAAGGTATGGTAAAAAACAGTGCAACTTGTACTTCTAGGTCAAAAAGTAGTTTTGAACACGAGACTTGAAGAGTGCATCTTGCTTGGTGAAAGGTGAAAAATAAAAACCCAATGAATTACCGAGACTTTGGAAGAACCTTGGAGCCAAACAGCTGAAATCCTGCTGTAGAGTGAGCCTGACTGCTTGGAAATAGCATCCTGATTTTACTAATATATGTACAGACTCCAAAATTTAGTTTGATGTAGTCCTCAAACTAAATAACACTACTATGTAGTATGATTGTATATTGGCCTTCTGCCGTCCTGAAGCTTCATAGAAAGCTGAGAATAGGGTTTTATCCGAGACCTCCATTAATCTAGGTGTGTTGGTATTGATAATCTAAGGAATTTGGGTGTAGTCTCTGAGAAGATTTGAAGCTTCTCCTTTTAAAAGCTAAGCAGACACACACATTAAATCAAACAGCAAGGCAGCTCCTCTATTTCTAAGTGGAAACGAGCTTAGTCACAAAATGAAAAAAAGGCATTTTTAACTAACTGTCCGTTCCCCCTCAAAAAAGAAGAAAAGCCAAGAGACCAAATTATGTGTTCTGTTTGGAAGTTAAAAATAACTGCGAGAAAAATCAACTGAGATTTGCCTGGAGTCTTACCAGAGGAAAATCAGTAAAACTCACAGAAAGATGAGAAGCAAGCTGAATGATTGGCAACACACCAACCACTGGTACCGTAAACATGTTGAACTGAGTTACTAGCTTGTAAATTATGGAATAATGTTACT